GAGGAAATAATATGTGACTGGACTAATGACTAATAATACAGAATTTACATTGCATGTATTATGTACTAACATTATGGACAGCATGATTAACAATTTAAATATGTTTTTACTTTTCTTATAACACAGTCACCTAATAAAATGTTAATACAACGACAGACAAACCAAAGTAGGAGTCAAAGCCGCGGCGGGTGGGCAGGCAGTCCTTCTTGTACATGCCCAGGTGCCACTTGCCGACCATGTGTGTGGCGTAGCCCTCCTCCTTCAGCAGCTGGGGCAGCAGCTTCTCGTCCAGGGGCACACAGTACGGCTGACAGGGCCAGATGAGCTGGTGCTGCAGGCCAGTGTGGATCTGTGCAGGAGGTCAAACATGTTGAAAATGGCTCCAAGCCAAGAGGGAACTTGCAGACTCTGATATGCAAGCAGAAGTTTTGAAACACACATCGTGAAGGGAGGACGGTGTGGTTGGTCTTGTAGTTGAGGTTCGTAAGAGTCTGCAGCAGGAGGTTCTTTTAGTATGAATTATCTTATTATTACTCATACGTAAAAGTACATTTTAATTCAGAGCTCAGTTTCACACAGCAGTGTGTCCATCTCTTGTGTTTTCAACCAACCTTATGATGCACAATGATGTTAGTCTTCTTCATCATTAAAATGTTTTAAATGGCTTTATCTGTCGAAGTATCATCGGTGTCTAATAATGTTTTCATTGTGTAAAACCTCAGTTGTTAGAGAGTTTTCGCATCTATAGTTGTATTGTGTCTTTTGCCTCTTTTTCTACTCTTTCAATCTCTTATTCTCCTTGAAAATCGTTTGAAACTGTGCTCTTTGAATTGAAATGGACTTTTTAATGTTGTCTCTTGAATTGTGTTCATGTCCCTGCTGACAGGCCTGCAGCCCAGCAGCTGTGACCGGGCAGCGGGCTGCAGGCTGCAGGCTGCAGGCGGAGGCCCCCCCGTGGTCTCACCTGGTACCTCCCGGTCATGAGCTGGTTGCGGGACGGGCTGCACATAGGCTGCACGTAGTAGTTCTCCAGGCGGACTCCTCCGGCCGACACTTTGTCCAGGTTTGGCGTCCGGATCTCCGAGCTGTGATACCCGACATCGTTCCAGCCGAAGTCGTCGGCCATGATGAACACGATGTGAGGCCGCCGGGCAGCTGCCAGAGCCGGGCAGCTGAGCAGGAACACCACGGTCAGGAACTTTTCCTCCATCGTTAGCTTGTCATGTGCACAGCGGCTTCAGACTCGCACAACGCTCGGGTTAAAGGCGGAGGAACATGGCGGAGGTGGAGCAGCAGTAACCAGACGCATCAAACTGAAGATCGAAGAAGGTAAAAGTAAAACCTGTTCTGCTTCTCACTTCCCTGTTCAGCAGATCAAAAACACTGCCTCAGCTGCAGCAGCCAATCAGATGGCTGGAAAAACAACCAATCACGTGAATGTACGGAAGCCTAGTGTGGGTTATGTCGTTACTAGTGTGTGTGTGTGTGTGTGTGTGTGTGTGTGTGTGTGTGTGTGTGTGTGTGTGTGGGGGGAGATTCAAGTCTTTATTGAAAGATCATACGGGATGACTGAGGAATCCCATTACTTGTTGATTAAGTATTGATCCTGAGCTGTCCAAGTATTAACAAGTAAGCTAATATGTGCTGACCCAT